TGCTGTATTTTTGCCCCCCCTCAAAATTAAAGCCGGTTCCGCCCCTGTCTACCTCTTTGGCCTTCACCTCTACACTAGATTAAAGCTTCATTTGAAATGGATTTCTTACTATTTTTTAAGTAAAAAAATATTTAAACTGAAAATTATTTTACAAGATAGCTGATTTAGAAAACAATAAGAAAGCCATCTCAAACGAAACCTAAGTGATAAATAACATATTTGTATAAGTTAGATAGAGTTCTAAGGAATGAATGAAAATCACATGAAACAAATCCAATTTGGTGAGAAAATTATCTCTATTTCTCAATGATAATATCATATTTAGTCATTACACGATCAACTACTTGATTGGAGCAAAAAAAAATATTATATTATCTTATCTTGACAATGACACTCTAATGGACAAAAACAATTCGGTGGATGTTTTTGACCTTATTAAAGTTTGTGATAAAGAAGATAAATTTATTATATGCTTTGCAAACATCACCCGTCTCTTCCCCTCCCCTTCCACAGCAAAGGGGAATTGACGTTTTGGAGCTTTGCGATGGGGAGTTCTGAAGTAATTAGTTCTTTAAAAAATAATTAAGAAAACTAAATTATCATTTATGTAAGCGGAACGACGGGGTATTTTATTTCTAACATCATTGACATATCACTTAATTCTTTTGATTAATATATCACTTAGATGTATAATTCAACTTTTAGGGGGATTTATCCCCTAAAAATATCATGTTCATATATTTAATGTTTAAATTTTATTATTTATTCATAGAATATACAAAAAAAAATTGAATTAAAAAAAAATCAAAACTTCTCTTTTGCATACCGTCAGTCCCATCTAGGGGTGTCAATTCGGGTCAACGGGTCGGGTTCGGGTCGAACCCGAAACTGACCCGGCACTGTTCGAGTCAACCCGAACCCGACCCGATTCGGGTCCGGGTCAACCCGACCCGACACGAATGACCCGGTATTGACCCAAAATTGCTAATTTTCGGGTAAAAAATCGGGTCAATCTCGGATTTTCGGGTAAAAAACGGGTCAATTTCGGGTTTTCGGGTCAAAATGAGTTTTCGTGTCACTTTCGG